CCTTATAGGTATGATGAGATGAGTAGCAAGTTCAATGTTGAGTACATTGCCGGAGGTAATTCCTCTTTTGTGTGTTTTAAACGATCTTCTGACCATTTAGTCGCGTATGCGTTGACAAGATTATGATATCTTCATGGTTCATTCCTTTTCTCAGGTGCTACTCAGAACTCAATCAAAGTGGCTCAGGTAGATTCTTTTGCCATTCTTCTTGCGCTTTTTTTTCAGGGTTAAAAGTATGAATAACTGCTAATTCAAGGGTGTTTTTGGCTGCAGTGGATGCTTCAAATCCCTGGAGCAACCAGTTACATGGGATCCATTGGAAAGGACAAATACGGAGAGGCGATGAAGAAGGATGCTACAGCAGCTGGTGTCAATGTAAGCTGTGTATCTTGATATTCTCTGTTTCATGCTTTTTGTTTGAGTTCATCTTCATCTGGTCTTCGGTTTGTCTTTGAGGATGTATGGAGAGTTATTGTTGAAACTGAAATCAGAATTTGTAATCATGGTGTGTTACGATGACAGTATGCTTTTGTATCAGGTTCACTATTATGAAGATGAGTCAGCACCTACTGGAACTTGTGGTGTCTGTGTTGTTGGTGGAGAAAGGTCGCTTATCGCGAATCTTTCAGCCGCAAATTGCTACAAGGTTGACCACCTTAAGAAGCCTGAAAACTGGGCATTGGGTAAATTCATTTCTCCCATTGTTACATCCTTCTAACAGTTCTGTATTATATTTTCATGATCTGATATAATTCAATTATGTCTTGAGTAGTTGAGAAGGCCAAGTTCTACTACATTGCTGGATTCTTCCTCACGGTATCGCCTGAATCCATTCAGTTGGTATCTGAACACGCTGCTGCAAACAACAAGGTATAAGACATGATCAACAAAATCTTACTTGTTTTGACTTTTGAGTACCTTCTTGGGTTAATAACCCCGAGTTTGTTCACCTCTATCCTTCAGGTCTTCACGATGAACCTTTCTGCTCCATTCATCTGTGAATTCTTCAAGGATGTCCAGGAGAAGTTCTTGCCGTAAGCAAAAGCAATCCCTGATAATGTTATCCATTACGGGTTTTATAACCGCTTAACTGAAAAACACTCTGCATCTGTTTGTTTTGCTTGGGACAGATACATGGACTTTGTTTTTGGCAATGAGACAGAGGCAAGAACCTTCTCCAGGGTTCATGGCTGGGAGGTACCATTTCTCTTACACGGCTTAATTTCAATGTCCTGTTCTGTTTTGTATAAAAGAGACAAACTCAAAC